TTACCAAAACTAGATTAAAAGGTGGAGGAACAGTTGAATATGACAAAGGTGTAAAATAAATAATTTAAAAGAAAACTATCAGGAATGACAAACCTCAACACATATGTGCATTTAAATATTTGTGGGTGTGTGTGTATGTACACACACTCTCTCATATTTTTGTAGATAAAACAAGGTTCACAGGTATGCTAAGTGTTCTTCTTATCAGTAAAATAGGTACCAGAGAAATTTCTGTGACCCACATCTTAGTTATGTAAGTACGTGAAAGGAACAATTGCTGATTCCTTTAGTATGACCATTTTATTAAATTAGACTGTCCTTCTCCCTGGTTAAATCAGAATGAACTATAAAGGATGGAATTTCAGACAGTTGATTGATGGTTAATGGAAAGCAGTTATTTTTAGAGTTAATGATTCTAGACGTTTTCTTGATTATCATAGAAAACTAGTTTTTTTCGAATCTAGAATGTTGGTACAAATCTCTGATAAATTAACCTTGATTTAACCTTATTCTGAATCTTAAGAGGATTTTCTCCATGAATATAATAAGCAATTTAATTGGGATGTGTCAGTAGCCTACTAATAAAATATACTTTATGGAATATTTCTTATTTTATCTTGAATTTTATAAAATTTGTAGTCCTAAAAGCTGAGTGTCTTGTTTGTCTTTTTTGTAGGACCTGTTCTAGTAAGAGAGAGGCCTACAGGGATTGTCGAAAGTTGGGCTTTGGTGGGTGATGGGACTTACCTACTTTCTCTTTTGGACTATGAATTTTGAAAGTTACCTTATGAATTAACAGAAGTAGGCCTTTTAGAAGCCGATGATGTATAGGAGCTTAGCTTAGTGCAGTGGGCTCAAGGACTTTATTTCCGGGGGAGAGACAGACCAAAAATATATGTTCAAATCTTAGGTAGTGATGAGTGCTTTGAAAATAAGATAAGTAACACAGGGCTTCCTGCCACTGGGTGGTCAGAAGAGGCCACTCTGAGATGACATTTAAACTAAGGCTTGAGTGACAAGAAGGGGAGGAGTGTGGCGGGCAGAAGGAACAGCTGGTGCAGAGGCCCTAAGAGAGGGACAAATATGAGGTGTTGTAGAACTGAAAGGAGAACAGTGATGCTAGATAGTGGTAGGAAAGGGGGTGAGGCAGTGGGAAGGTGGGCAGGGTCCACATGACATAGGGCCCAGGAGCCCCTAGTAGGCTACATATATGGGAATCTATTGGGAGTTTTAAGCAGAGGAGTGATAGGGTCTGAAGGGGGAACTGGTTTGGGGAGTCGGCTGTTCTGGTTTTTTTTTTTCCACCCATGAGAATTGCCGTTTATTCCCGAAGTTGCCAAAATCATCACCAAGGATTCACCAAGGGGTGCGTAGGGGAAGGAGGAGGCTCAAACACTGATGAAGGGTCAGGAGTATGGAGGGAGGGGGAATGGGTGGGGGCCCAGCCGTCCCTCCCCCTCCTAATGCCTCGGGAACGGGGTCCTCCTCTGGCCAGCGCCCCTCCCTACCCCGTGTCCAGCTTCTCTTC